TGTTTGCTGCTGCCGTGCTGCTGCTGCTCTGCTGCTCTGCTTGTTTGCTGCTGCTGCTGCCTGCTGCCTTTCTGCTTGCTGCTGTCTCTGCTGCTGCCGGGCCTTGCTGCTGCTCTGCTACTGCAGCTGCTGCTGCTGCCCGCATTGCTGCTGCTGCAGCTGCTGTTTGCTAAATGCTGCTGCTGCTCTGCTATCTGCTGGGCTGCTATCTCTGCTGCGTGCTGCTGCTGCTGCTAACTGCTCTGCGGGGCCTGCTTGACGGGCTGTCTGCTGCGCTGCTCGGGTTCTGCTGTGTGTGCTCGCTGCGCTGTGCTGTGCTTCTTGCTGCTGCTGCTGTCTGCTTGGCTGCTGCTGCTGCTGGCTTGCCTGCGGCTGTGCTTGCTGCTGCTGCTGCTGCTGGTGTGCTGCGGCTGCTTTTTTTGCGCGGGCTGCTGCTGTTTCTGTGCTTTGCTCTGGCTGCTTGCTGCTGCGCTGCTGCTGCTGGCTGTGCTGGTACTCTGCTGTCTGCTGCTGCTGTGCTAATGCTGTGCTGCTGGCTTGCGGGCTGCTGCTGCTGCTGCGCTGTGTGTTGTCGGGCTCGGTGCGGGTCTTCTGCTGCTGTCTGCTGTGCTGCTCTGCTGCTACTGCTGCTTTGCTGTGCTGCTGTCTGCTGCTTGCTGCTGCCTGCGGCTGTGTTTACCTGCTGTGCTGCTGCTGCTGCTGCTGCGTGTGCTGCTGCTGTGCTAACTGCGGGCGCTGCTGCTGCTGCTCCCTGCTTTGGCTGGTGCGCTGGCTGCTGCTGCTTGGCTGCTGCGTGTACTGTGTGTGCTGCGGGCTGCTGCACTGCTGCTTGCTGTTTGTGGTGCTGGTGCTGCTGCGTCCCTTTGCTGCGCTGCTACTGCTGCTGCTGCTGTTGCTGCTGCTGTTTGCTTGCGCTGCTGTTGCTGCTGCTGCTGGCAGCTGTGCTGTGCTCTGCTCTGCTGCTGCTAGCTGTTGTCTTGTGCTCTCCTGCTGTCGTCGGGCTGTCTTCTTGCTGCTGGCTGCCTGCTGCTGCTGTGTACTGCTGTCTCTTTCGCTGCTGCTGCTGCTGCTGCTGCTGCTGCTGCTTGCATTCTATGCTGGTTTGCTGTCTATCTTGTGCTGCTGCTGCTACTGCTGCTGCTGCTGTACTCTGCTCTTCTTCTTCTGCTTGCTGCTGCTGCTGCTTTCTGTGCTGCTACTGCTGCTTCTCTGCTGCTGCTGCTGCTATGCTGTGCTGCTGTTGCTGCTGCGTTTTGCTGCTGCTGCTGGTGGCTGCGCTGCGCTGCTGCTGCTGTGTGCTACGGGCGGGTGTTGTTGTGCTGTGGGGCCTGGCTGGCGGGTTGCTTCTGTGGTGTGTGGCTGCTGCAGTGCTTGTTGTGGGTCTGTGGCTGGCTGGCAGTGTTGTTGTGGGTGTGCTGCTGGCTGGCAGTGGTTGTTGTGGTGTGTGGCTGGCGGGCTAGTGTTGTGGGTGTGTGGCTGGCTGGCAGTGTTGTTGTGGGTGCTGCTGTGCTGGCTGGCAGGTGTGTTGTGGGTGTGTGGCTGCGCTGCTGGCGCGTTGTTGTGCGTGTGTGCGCTGGCTGGCAGGTGTTGTGGTGTTGGCTGGCTGGCAGGGTTGTGTGTGGGTGTGTGGCTGGCTGGCACAGTGTTGTGTGGTGTGTGGCTGGCTGGCGCAGTGTTGTTGTGGGTGTGTCTGTGCTGTGCAGGGTCTGTTGTGTGTGGCTGTGTGCTGCTGCTTGCATGTGTTGTTGCTGCTGCCTGCTGTTGTGCTGTGCTGCTGGCAGCGTGTTGTTGTGGTGTGTGGCTGGCTGGCAGTGTGTGCTTGTGTGGCTTGTGCTGGCTGCTGCTGGATGTGGTGTGTGTGTTGCTGGTGTGTGCGCTGTGCATGCTTGTGTTGCTGGGTGTGTGGCTGCTGGACAGGTGTTGTTGCTGGGTGTGCTGGCTGTGCTGGCAGGTGTTGTTGTGTATGCTGGCTGCTGCGATGTTGTGTGTGGTGCTGTGGCTGCTGCGCGCGTTGCTATGTGCGTGTGTGGCTGCTGCAGCTGCTGTATGTGGCTGGTGTGTGGCTAGCTGGCAGGGTCTCTTTGCTGCGTGTGCTAGGCTGTGCTGCACGTGTTTCACTGTGGGTGTGTGGCTGCTGCAGTGTGTTGGGGCTGCTGTGGCCTGGCTGGCAGGTTTTTGTGGGTGTATGTGGCTGCTGCATGGGTTGTTGTGGATGTACTGGCTGACTGGTCATTTCTGTGGGTGTGTAGGCTGCTGGCAGTGTTGTGCTGGTGTTGGGCTGTGCGCTGGTGTTGTTGTGGGTTGTGCTGGCTGCTGCTGCAGTGTTGCTATGGTGGGTGTGCTGGCTTGCTGTGCTCAGGTGTGTGGCGTGTATGTGCTGGCTGCAGTGTTGTTGCTGGCTAGCTGTGGCTGCTGCGCTGGCAGGTGTGTATTGTGCGTGTGTGCTGTGTGCTGTGCAGTGTGTGGGCGTGTACGTGTGCTGCTGGCAGCTGTGTGTTGCTGGGCTGCTGCGCCTGGCTGGCAGTGGTTGTTTTTATGTGTGGACTTGTTCTTGGAGTGTTGTTCGCTGTTATTGCTGCTCAGTGACAGTTAATTTTATTAAGTTTGTTTCTATGTACAATTCGTTTTGCAGTTTATGTTTTGTTATCATGAACTATGCTGGCAGGGTTGTTGTGGGTGTGTGGCTGGCTGGCAGTGTTGTTGTGGGTGTGTGGCTGGCTGGCAGGGTTGTTGTGGGTGTGTGGCTGGCTGGCAGGGTTGTTGTGGGTGTGTGGCTGGCTGGCAGGGTTGTTGTGGGTGTGTGGCTGGCTGGCAGGGTTGTTGTGGGTGTGTGGCTGGCTGGCAGTGGTTGTTGTGGGTGTGTGGCTGGCTGGCAGGGTTGTTGTGGGTGTGTGGCTGGCTGGCAGGTTGTTGTGGGTGTGTGGCTGGCTGGCATTGTTGTTGTGGGTGTGTGGCTGGCTGGCAGGGTTGTTGTGGGTGTGTGGCTGGCTGGCAGGGTTGTTGTGGTGTATGGCTGACTGCAGGGTTGTTGTGGGTGTGTGGCTGGCTGGCAGGGTTGTTGTGGGTGTGTGGCTGGCTGGCAGGGTTGTTGTGGGTGTGTGGCTGGCTGGCAGGGTTGTTGTGGTGTGTGGCTGGCTGGCAGGGTTGTTGTGGATGTATGGCTGACTGGCAGGGTTGTTGTGGGTGTGTGGCTGGCTGGCAGGTTGTTGTGGGTGTGTGGCTGGCTGGCAGGGTTGTTGTGGGTGTGTGGCTGGCTGGCAGGGTTGTTGTGGGTGTGTGGCTGGCTGGCAGGGTGTGTGGGTGTGTGCTGGCTGGCAGGTTGTTGTGGGTGTGTGGCTGGCTGCAGGGTTGTTGTGGGTGTGTGGCTGGCTGGCAGGGTTGTTGTGGGTGTGTGGCTGGCTGGCAGGGTTGTTGTGGGTGTGTGTGGCTGGCTGGCAGGGTTGTTGTGGGGTGTTGGCTGGCTGGCAGGGTTATTGTGGATGTATGGCTGGCTGGCAGGGTTATTGTGGTGTATGGCTGGCTGGCAGGGTTGTTGTGGATGTATGGCTGGCTGGCAGGGTTTTGTGGGTGTATGGCTGGCTGGAGGGTTGTTGTGGGTGTATGGCTGGCTGGCAGGGTTGTTGTGGGTATAGTGGCTGGCTGGCAGGGTTGTTGTGGATGTGTGGCTGGCTGGCAGGGTTGTTGTGGGTGTATGGCTGGCTGGCAGGGTTGTTGTGGGTGTGTGGCTGGCTGGCAGGGTTGTTGTGGGTGTATGGCTGGCTGGCAGGTTGTTGTGGATGTATGGCTGGCTGGCAGGGTTGTTGTGGGTGTATGGCTGGCTGGCAGTGTTGTTGTGGATGCATGGCTGGCTGGCTGGCAGGGTTGTTGTGGATGTATGGCTGGCTGGCAGGGTTGTTGTGGATGTATGGCTGGCTGGCAGGGTTGTAGATGTATGGTTCGCTGGCAGGGTTGATGTGGATGTATGGCTGGCTAGCAGGGTTGTTGTGGGTGTATGGCTGGCTGGTAGGGTTGTTGTGGATGTATGGCTGGCTGGCAGGGTTGTTGTGGATGTATGGCTGGCTGGCAGGGTTGTTGTGGGTGTATGGCTGGCTGGCAGGGTTGTTGTGGATGTATGGCTGGCTGGCAGGTTGTTGTGGTGTATGGCTGGCTGGCAGGGTTGTTGTGGATGTATGGCTGGCTGGCAGGGTTGTTGTGGATGTATGGCTGGCTGGCAGGGTTGTTGTGGGTGTATGGCTGGCTGGCAGGGTTGTTGTGGTGATGGCTGGCTGGCAGGGTTGTTGTGGATGTATGGCTGGCTGGCAGGGTTGTTGTGGATGTATGGCTGGCTGGCAGGGTTGTTGTGGATGTATGGCTGGCTGGCAGGGTTGTTGTGGGTGTATGGCTGATGGCAGGGTTGTTGTGGTGTATGGCTGGCTGGCAGGGTTGTTGTGGGTGTATGGCTGGCTGGCAGGGTTCTTGTGGATGTATGGCTGGCTGGCAGGGTTCTTGTGGATGTATGGCTGACTGGCAGGGTTGTTGTGGGTGTATGTTGTGGATGTGGGAAATTAAGTTATGTGGGGTTTAAGGAAAAAAATCCCTATATATTATTGCGATAAAAATGGATTATGGTTTCTGTCAAATTCAGGATATAATTTTGGAGTTAAGATTACTAAATATAACCGTAAAATAGAATAATAATGAATAAATTGTTTGGCAAGTTATCCTGGTAACTCTTGAGGTTCGTAACGTGTAGCTTCTCTTGATTCATTGCTTCACTATACAATAAATGGCTCTGTTATGAGAGGCTGCCATAGTAATGGAGAACTTCACTGATTCTAAGGAACTTTATTGAAGAGACATGTTTACAGCACAGATCTGAGTCCTCTTCAGACTGAGGACTTCAGAGAGTAGTTTTGACACTGTAACTCTGCGATGTTATAATTCCAAACTTCAATAAATATTTTATATATTATATATAATATATATATATATATATATATATATATATATATATATATATATATATTTCTGATAATGAAACATGAATAGTTTTAGATCTGAAACGCTTAAGTTAAACACGCAAGCATTCAGGGGTGTGATGGCGTGAATATGATTTTAGTAACATCATTAGTGCAAAGCTTCTGGATTTACCAGAATGGTTTGTGACATCTGACACTTTAAAGATAAGATGGTGTCAGACATTGAGGCCTGATATAAGCATACAAACTACGGTTTGAGTAAGAGAGTGGCACTGACGACGAGTAAGAGGAGATCGGAGGGCTGACAGTGTCTGTGGCCCTGAAAGCAATATGTAAGAAGATCAGGAGTTGTTAGTGACTGTAACACTTACAGCAACAGGTAAGACGATCAGTTGTTGACAATAAAACTGGAATGGAATGCAATTGGTAAGGAAAGAAGGATTTGGCAGTGACTGTGACACTGAGTGTAATTGGTAAAGAAAGAAGGCGGTTGGTAATAACTGTTGGTAATACATACTTCAAAGTATAAATAAAAATGCCACACTTTTACTCAGAAATCCGATAATCAAAAATTGCGACAAAAATCGACAGTAGAACAATTTTCAGAGGTGCCGGAGAAAGTGATTGTGGTGCACAATATGTCTAGTTGAACATTACAGCCATAAGCTGCAACAAATATTCTGACGGACTCTCACAGATGTCACGAGTCATCAGGTAAAGACTTGGTAGTATAGCCAGTAGACGAGATTAAATAGAATGAAAAGGACTGGGAACAGGGCCCTACATGTCTTATCGATCCTCTTGGCTAACACGGCTTCCTGCGCCACAGTGATGGCAGACATAAGAGTTTAACGTCGCTAAGGGCATGAGCACACATGCTCTCGTTGTGGCCCAGCTCACTGAGACTGGAAGCGTTGATGTGACGAGTGTCTTCACCGCCTGACTCAACTGGAGGATCTCCTTCGTCAGTCATTTCCGAGGTACAGCCACGGTTAGAGACTTCGGCGGCGAAGTCCATCTGGTGTGTTCCTTCGTCACCATGGCTCTTCCTGCGTCTTTTGTCGTCGTCATCACCTGCTCTGCTCTCCTGTAAATAAGTAAATCAGTGACGTAGATACATTAAGCAGGGAACGCACACATTTTAAGTGTTAAGACATGTATTAAAAATAATCTTAAAGTGAACAAATATCTACATAAATTAATCTCAACTTTGGTCAATGGTTTCTATCAAGAAACGTGTGTTCAAACACAACATTTCATAGCAACTACCATATTTAATATTTTTTTTTCGAAAATGAAGAACTTAACCCATGGTATTAATATACATTAGCATTAATAACAGCAGTAAAACAACCACTAGCACCATTTCTGTGATTACAAAAATAAGCAATATTAGATTTCCTAGCTCCATGCTATAACCACTAGTACTACTAGCATCATTATCAACTGCATTACCAGCAGCACAACTAGCAATACCAGCATCATTATCAACTGCACCACCAGCACCACAACTAGCACTACCAGTATCATCAACTGCATCACCAGCACCACAGCTAGCATTACCAGCATCATTATCAACTTCATCACCAGCACCACAACTAGCACTACCAGCATCATTATCAACTGCATCACCAGCACCACAGCTAACACTACCAGCATCATTATCAACTGCATCACCAGCACCACAGCTAGCATTACCAGCATCCTTATCAACTTCATCACCAGCACCACAGCTAGCATTACCAGCATCATTATCAACTTCATCACCAGCACCACAACTAGCACTACCAGCATCATTATCAACTGCATCACCAGCACCACAGCTAGCATTACCAGCATCATTATCAACTGCATCACCAGCACCACAACTAGCACTACCAGCATCATTATCAACTTCATCACCAGCACCACAACTAGCACTACCAGCATCATTATCAACTGCAACTACACACAACGCATTATCATCTGCATCACTAGCACCACACTAGCATACCAGCATCATTATCAACTATCACCACCAGCGCACACAACTAGCACTACTAGCATCATTATCAACTGCATCACTAGCACTACCAGCATCATTATCATCTGCACATAGCACCATAGCACTACCAGTATCATTATCATCTGCACCACTAGCACCACAACTAGCACTACCAGCATCATTATCTACTGCATCACTAGCACCACAACTAGCACTACCAGTATCATTATCATCTGCACTACTAGTACCACAACTAGCACTACCAGTATCATCAACTGTATCACCAGCACCACAACTAGCACTACCAGCATCATTATCAAGTGCACCACCAGCACCACAACTAGCACTACCAGCATCATTATCAAGTGCATCACCAGCACCACAACTAGCACTACCAGCATCATTATCAAGTGCACCACTAGCACCACAACTAGCACTACCAGTATCATCAACTGCATCACCAGCACCACAGCTAGCATTACCAGCATCATTATCAACTGCATCAGCACCACAACTAGCACTACCAGCATCATTATCAACTTCACCACCAGCGCCACAACTAGCACTACTAGCATCATTATCAACTGCATCACTTGCACTACCAGTATCATTATCATCTGCACCACTAGCACCACAACTAGCACTACCAGAATTCATTAGCTACTTCATCACTAGCACCACAACTAGCACTACCAGTATCATTATCATCTGCACCACTAGCACCACAACTAGCACTACCAGTATCATCAACTGTATCACCAGCACCACAACTAGCACTACCAGCATCATTATCAAGTGCACCACTAGCACCACAAATAGCACCAAAAGCCCTGATACCCGAGTAATTTTAAAAGGCATGAGTTTTTGTGCTAATTTGTAAAATATCGTGTTAGCCTAAAATAAGTCTTATTATTTATTTACCTTTTTCTGGCCTCAAATGAGAGAATTTGGCGTCCAGATTGTCAAGAATTTTAGAATTATATAAAGTCATATATTTTATCCTGTCTATAACTGACATCCAGTAAGTAACATGTCTTCGTTGATACATATACGAACGTTTACAACTACATTTCCCTCTCTTCACACACATTTATTGCTTTCATTACCATCTTCTCAGTATTACATAAATACTCTCTTAATTTATGACTTGCCACAGTTAGTAGTGCGACCTCAGCTTTATCACTGTTATTGTTCTCACTCTTGCTGAGAAGTGGAAGTAGTTTGTAGGCCATGCCTTCCATTCCATCCTGTAAATTCCATGCCATTTTTTTTCCAGCTGCTCCGTACCCCTTACTATTACTAACTTTCTATGCCAAGAACAATGATTCTCACCAATGAAGAATCTAGAGAACCAGATGTTTTTGTCACTGTATAATGCGAGAGAGGAGCTCCCTTATCACATAATTCTAGCCTCTTGTATTCAACGCACTCAAGAGGCCTAGCAGCGACACATCAAAACCATCAGGCGGACAAAGAACTGAAACTCACCTTCTTCGAAAGGCTTTGGAGTATTAACTCAGCTCTCCCAAGAGGTCCAGGAGCTAGAAATTAAAACCTCGAGAAGCCCATGGCTTTTGGTAAAACACACTCAGGAAACTTAGCATCCGCTTAAGGCTCACAGATCTTAGAGGATCAGTAAGCTCAACCCAGTCAAACACTGAAAGTATGAGATGAACTACAGCTGGAAAGTAGATTAAATTTGCTCTTAGTTTTCACTGTTACTTGAACTACAGGCTAACAGCACACTGTTAGTGTATCCAACTTTGATTAATACAAAAAAATGGAGTTAGGAAAAAAAATAATGGTTTTCAGAGGTGGTAAGGTTTGGTGCAGTACCACGGAAACCAATCAACTGATCAACATGAGTTTCAACAGAAGGGTAAGTATACCTTCCATTTTTTCAATAAAATTGGCAATTTTGAACCTAAAGAGCCCATCAAAATTAAAATATTTCTTTAGGTTAGATGTATTAGGGTTGAATGTTTTAAATCAGTGTGAAGTAGCATTTTCACTGTATCACACCGTCTGTTGGTTCTGTGTGATAACATCTCAATTTGTTCTCTCAAGGAAGGTTCCTCGGTGCTGGTGACTACCACACCGTCCTCAGGCGCTGTTTCACTTTTACGGGCTTAGCGCTTCTCCCTGATTATACTGTAACAACATGTCAATTTGTTTTAATAAAATTGACAAACTGGCCCTTACAACCAATAACAATGTGAACATTCCCTCCAGCAAAATATACCATCATTGACAGTTTAAAAGCGATCACAAGAGGCATTTTCGCACTGAAAGTAATAACTCCACTGTTTTAATTGTTATAAAATTGGCAACTGCACATACTCTGTAAGTTTGAAGCCGCTCAAATTGCACAGAAAATAAGAATGTAATATTTATAATGAAATTAGCAAACTGGTACCTATACAGCTCGATGCAAATCCAAATTTTCGTATTAGTAAACACTAACTTTGAAAAGTGTGAAGCCGAGCAGAAATGATACTGTCATGTTATCACATGAAAAACAAACATCCCAACCCATTTAATAAAACCGTCAAATTGGCACCTACACATGCCAATAAGAGTTTCATCGTTCCTCTAAGATACACCAGAATTGAAAGTCTGAAGCAGATCTGAAGAAGCGATCTCAAGTGTTTTCATGTATGACTTGAAAGACGAGGAAAAATGAAAAGCTGAGAACCACTATAGGTATCCTCTTATAGGGCTAACTAAACAAGCTTTGGACAGCGTCCTTGACTCGCAACTCACGATATCTGTTGCCAGCTGAGATCTTTCCCTCAGTCCGGAAAGCTGAGAAACTCGCCACATCATGAAGCTCAAGTCTTGCATCATCACCACTGGCGGCCACTAATAACCCAGCCAATTTTCCTTGACTCTTATATACTAGCTCTTTATGTGCCGTTTTGTTTACCACGTTTATATAATGTCATTTATGCTCCTCCTGACGGTCCTGGTACACGTTTACTATATGTGGCTTTATGAATGAAGATGAGGTAGGTCCCACTATGTAAGTGTTAGCGGCTCTATTTCTATAAAAGTGAAGACTCACACCTGCAATTTAGGTGAGTTTTCTGAATTTATATAGTCTTCTGCTTAAGATCTGTATTTTCACTAGCTTGTAAATTTTGTTTGAATAGTTAAAGCCTATTCCTGATAGGGCAAAAACAAAATTTCGTTCTCAGCAACTTCGGGATATTTTTTTTTCTTGCCATTGCTATATTTTTGGGTATTGTACTTGCATTCCTGTTATTTATTATTATACCTGATTCAGTTTTATCTCTCCACACGAGTATGTACACCGAGAGGTCCCTATCTTTCTCTTAGAGCATATACACCGAGAGGTATCTCTCAGTTTAAATACACTAAGAGGTGTGTGTCTCAGTGTGTATACGCTGAGAGTTTACCTTAACCTACAGTTAGGGGTTTAAGTAGCCTTGACTGATAAATGTACAGGTGATATGCAGCCTTAATAACCCTTGTCTAGTCGATGGGTCGAGAGAATAATAAACCAACCAACTAATATCATATCAATGTCTTAAATTTTTTTTGTCAGTTTCAACTCCATCCTATCCCCCCTCTCTCTTTCTCTCTCTCTCTTCTCTGCATGTCTCCCTGTTTTCCTTTTTTTTTCTTTTTATTATATTTTAAAAAGGGGTGGCTGCCCCTGGATGTGGTCGGGATACTAACTTTATCTCCTCTCATTTGCATATTCAGATCCATTTTAATCTCAGTATTCATCTTTTTCAATTCCTATTCCCTTTCCCCCTACTTCATCGGCACCTCTCTCTCTCTCTCTCTCTCTCTCTCCCTTCTCACTTGTTCTAAAAGGCTAATGCATTCCTCCTTCGTACCTGACTGAATCTTTGCCTTCATTCACGCAGCAAGTGGTAAAGGTTCGATCCATCGATATTATCTCCACATTATGCTGTCCGGCTCGCCACCTCTAGAAATCTTCTTTTAATACAAATAATTAATATCCAGCGATACTCATTCTTTTTACATCATCAATGACCACATGAAATTCGAGTGCCAAATTCTAACTGAGTAATATAATATTTAATCTTTGTACAACTAATTCCAGTCCCTGGGAAGGCTAGCCTGTTCCTGTCTGTTTCAATTCCCCAAAATATTTTTTTCTTACCAATTATTCATTTCTTGGTCAAACGCTATTTTAATGGGATTTCCTGAAATGTAAAGATATGAAATAATACACAAGTCTTTTTGCTTCCAAGTACTGTAATTCCTGTAATACCAGGCAATAAAGTGTTAAATAAGCTCGATTGCTTCTCTGTACAGTATTCATACGGTTACGAACTCCAACGGGAGCACAACACTCTTTGTAAATGGGCGAGACGAATCTTTTAATACTTTTCCTAGTAAATGAAGGAGGGACAAGAAGCAACGTTGGTGGTGGGTCACCAGCACTGCTCTACAACGACAAAGTTGGTAAAATTATGTTTAAGAAAATATATGTGAGTGTGGGAAGTAAATTAATTATTACATTATTACATTCATACACGAGTTCTGCCGCACTACGATGGTACATTCTCACACCTGAATTTCTGCACTATGATGATGCATCATAGTACTATGATTCACCCAGTGACATCTGCACATCAAAATATATGTCGCACATCACAGTCTGTGACTTCACAGTCTATCATGTTAGGAACGCTAATCAGTTTAATTAGTGTAAATATGTCAACTTTGTCACTGATATAAATATGCTTAATATATTTTTATTTACGAAACGACATGAAATTGAACACTGTTCATGCCAAGGTGTCATACTCACGACAGTTAGCGATACCGTAGATTTCTTCCGGACGTGTTTACTAGCGTGGTGTCGCTGAGTGAGGGAGAGTCCGTGACTGCCCTGAGCGGCAGCACGGACACATGCGTAGATGGAGCCGTGGGTAGGACACTCGCTGGAGGAGAGCCTACTGAGAGCTCTGGATTGCTGCTGGTGGTGGTGAGGGGTAGTCGCCTGGGGAGAGATGGTCTCTCTACCGTACACTGAACCCCAGTAAAGGAACCGCCGGTGGTGGCGAGCGATGTGGTTAACTACCGTAAATTCTACCAGCGCCAGGAAGACGAAGGCTGTACACGAACCCATCCAGATATCCAGAGCCTTGACGTATGACACTGCCAAGATATTAAGTCGTCAAGATGTGATGAAAACAAAATTACAGAGAAGCAGGTACACTGACCAGAAATTAGAAACCTGGAAGAAAATCAAAACATACAAAGGACACAGCCTCGGCTGAGCGGGGTATTAACTAGCTCATTGCATGTTCCCTAAATAATTCAGAGATTAATTTAAAAAGTATACGTTATCAAGATATAGTTACCCATAATTCATTTTGGTATTTTATAGTAACAAGGCATCACCTCACCTGCGTCGTAGCTCAGGCATGTTACTGCATTATCAAATTATGTAAGGAGTACGAGGGATGGAACCACATGGATACTTCTCTAGTCTATCCCTTCCATCGTGTCATTCACATATACAAAAAAATAGCACTGGTCCTAGGACTGACCCCTGTGGGACCCCGCTCGTCACAGGCGTCACGTACCATGACTCGTTGCTGCCTGCCTGTCAGGTAGTGTATATGTATGTGTGTGTGTGTGTGTGTGTGTGTGTGTGTGTGTGTGTGGTGTGTGTGTGTGTGTGTGTGTGTGAGGTGTGAGAAAGGTCTTTCGAATTCATATTGACTTACGTGTTCAGCTGATCAAATATGCAATGCAATTTGATCAACATGATCAAATATGCTATGCAAATTACGCTAATTCATTAGTGATGCACATGCACATTTCAGTATTATATTGCTCTAGCTAATATCAAAACACATAGCTAAAATTTTTTGAATAGATGTATGAATTCGGGTGCAACTGGGCACTTTAGTAGTGGGTAGAGAGGACAGATCTGTAAATGGATAATGCAATTAACCTCATCCTCAAACCAGATAAAGGCCCAAGGTGCATATGTATGGATCTTGTTATTGTGAGGCAGAATCTGGGTAGGCACACAAAGACTGTGGATACCAAGACTTACTGTCTTGAGTGCAAACTGAATAAATGTTATTTATATATGAAAGACTCAGAGCGTGTCTTCAGCTGAGGATAGAGCCGTCATAGAATTCATATACAAACTGAATTATTAAAGAGTGATAAGACCTATACGTATGACTATGGACAGCAAGAGAAGAATGAGTGTTTGAACACTGGGCGAACAACTCATCCAGAGACTGAAACGTCCTGAATTTCGCATATTTTGCTTTATTGGTGCTACACCAAAATTACTCTTGCCTAAAACATTGCATTAGTAGGTTAAGCCAGCACAGAGAAGTTCGATCATTGTAGTAAATAAAGCACAATCATCAAGGATTTGTGAGTAGCCGTGTTATTATTATGAATACATTCATGAGAAGCGCTAAACCAGTAAGATTCATGAAGCACCTGGACAAATGGGAGATAATCAGGTCCGAAAAGTAGCTGTGAAGGAAGACTTGGAGGAAGCTAGGAGAGAGAAATGGCGACTGACTTAGGAAAACAAAAGGATTCATAGTATTTCTCTTACTGTGAATCCTCAGGACAAAGAAGGAAGCTGGACAGTGGTTGGGAGTAAAGGAGCGAAGATGAAGATTAAAAGGAAGGATGGAGAAAAGGAAACCATTAACAACTTTTCTGTGCTTTAGGGTGGAAGCAAGGCGACCTACGTAACAACAACCAGAGATGACGGTGAGAGGACGGATCACACACAGAAATACACCAGTAAAGGTAAGAATGATGTTGTTGGGATTTTACCAGGTAAAATTCATGAATAGGACAATTGTGTCTACGAGATAGAAAGACAAGGCAGAGGGTGTCTTTTCCTGGGGCTGGGATGCAGGATGTTGTTATCCATCTTCCCATCATGGAGGGTGTATATATGTTGGTAGAATTACGGACAATATATAAAGTAAAAGGATATAAGTGCAACTAATGTAACATTTTATTGTGGCAACGTTTCGCTCTCCAGGAGCTTTGTCAAGCAGTAATGGCTTGACAGTAAAATGTTACATTAGTTGCACTTGTGTCCTTTTACTTTACACATGGAGGGTAATGGTACCTATCCTATTATGCCTCAGCGCTGGAGGCAATGATGTCGGCAGAAGCAGGAGTGAAGATCTGATTAGCAGGTATGGGTCAGCAATAGATATAATTAGGAAGAGAGGGCTGCACTCTGTAGTATGTAACATTTTGCCGAGGAGAGGAGTTGGAAAAGAATGGATGTCCGGGGTAATTGGTGTTAATTACTGGCTGGGCAAACACTATAAGGACACTGCAGTACCATTCATAGACAAATAGGACCTCTTATTTGGCAGAAATGACATGTATGCCAAGGATGGGAGTTCACTTATCTAGGCCAGGTGTGGGGGTTCTGGCTAGTTCAGTGGAGGGTGCTGTTAGGGCTTTAAAGTAAAAATAGTGCATGGGATTTTGGGGGGAAAACAAATTGTGGAGCCACTAATTTGAAATGTTTAAATTTATAAAGCTTGTGTTAATGTGGATTTTAGAAGCAACCTTATAATTTAAGATTAGTTAATAAATTAATGAATTACATCTGGTTGCATTCATGTACAGGAAAAGTTGATGGTCTTGCAGCAACTGAAACATGGTTTAATTTGAAGAGGTGGGACATGTCTCCCGAGTACCACATTCAAGGGTTTAAGTTGTTCCATGTTAAAAGTAACAATGAGAAGGGGATAAGCCAGCGCTATGTGCTTGAGAAAACATGAACTGTTACATAAAAATGGTATAAAAATCGAAGGAATAAACACAGTTTCTGTCTGGGTAAAATTTCTAGAGGATGTAAAAAAATTATTTTAGGTATAATATACTAACCCCAAGACTAAGAAAACTACAGATGGAAGCTTCCCTGGGACAAAATTGGTAGGGTTTCAAGGCATGATAACGTAGTAATGGTGGGAGACTTTAATTTTAGTCAAATTGATTGGATTTCTTAGAGGTGATTCAGGACTGTTTTTTTTTTTTTGAAGAAAAAGTTGCAACAGAATCAGCTTGATCTAGTTATGTCAAACAAGGAGATCCTCGTAAATAATCCAGAGATCACTGAAGGGCTTAGCTCTAGTGAACATAAATCTGTTACCTTTAATATTACCTCGTATACGGGAATAAAAATAACGCATTTTCGTTCTGCTGATTATAATGGACTTAGGGAACGCCTTTCAAAATACAAGTTGGCAGGTTGTCTGGCAAGATATTTGCCAAAACTTTTGAGGACAACTATTCCAGCCCACCTAAAGCACTCGGACGATCTTCTGAGCTGCACTGAAAACCTCAAAATGATGGTCGTAAGTTTCGACATTACTGCTCTATTCACTAAGGTGCCAGTGGACTAAACTATTCTGAGGGTAATTATTGTGGTTACATACTGGCCAGCACCTTGTCAGGTTTTGTAAAATCTGACTGAACTCTGTGTTCGTTATAACTGCTTCAACTTCGACAGAAATAAATATAAACAACTATTCGGGCTAGTCATGGGCTTGCCCCTCAGCACAGTTCTGTCGGTTCAACACTCTAGAACCGACAATTAAATTCTGTTACACAAGGTGAAAGTAAACTCTCGTTCAAGGTTTATAGTAAACATACTAGCAGGATACACAGATTCACAGATTCACAAACCGGAGTCGTCGTGCAGCCGCCGTCGAGAGATGTCTTCGTTCCTGCTCTGAGCACTGTGCCTCGAGTTTTTTCTTGGTAACGTTATTCTGAGTAATTCTCGACCAGAGCTGAGAGGAAACTTGCTTGCAGTCACTTCGAGCTCCATCCCTTTAAGAGGGTAAGGCTGTGACTTGCTTGCTTGTTCACCCCTCTCTTCCCCATCCCCCCAACCTTCCCCTTCCTTCCCTCACCCAAACATTTACACTGGTCCACACACTAACACTCTGCTTACATTGCTATCCGTCTGACTTTCCTATCTTCTTTTTCGGCAACTTCGCCTTTGGCGAGTTAACAAAAGGCATTTTGACTATCCGGTAGCCCGTGTGGTTTTTAAAAATCCTGCCGATCTTTGCCTTGGGCCCTGTCCCCCTCACTCCTCGAGGGTAGGCTATCTTAGGTGCTGACCTTCATAAGTCAGCTGACTTAGGATGTTTAGGGCTACCACCAAGGAAAATCTTTCTTGTTAAAGCAACTTCTCTGTGTCAGATGTACCTTCCTGGACATCATGGCACGAATACGAGTACGAATACGTGTCGTTGACAATCAAAAGTCTATGAAGAAAATTCTTGAATGTATTTGTTCAAACTCAACTGTTGTTCCAGTGGATGTTTGTCAAACCCACTTTGGGGCAGTACTTCTCCTCTCCTTTGAAGACGAGTTACTCCAACTGCTTAAGCATGAAGTTCTTGAGATTGTAGACTTTGGGTATTGTCCCAATTGCACCTGATAGCTATCAAGCCCAACAAACTGTCTTTGTGGCGAGAATTAACAGCTTCATGAGAGAATTAACAGCTTCAGGAGAATTCTGAATTTAAGGTTCTCCACGCATATAAATTCTCTAAACCTGACAGCAACCAGGTAACATTAAAATTAATCCTTGAGACACCTGAAGCAGCCAAACTAATATGTCAACCTGGTTTCAAATGTTTTGGCACCAGATGTACACCTGACCAAATCTTTCTTGAACGGCTTGTCAGTGTTACACAATGCTTCAAATGTTATGCATTTGGCCATACCACCAATAAATGCAGTAACCAATCAACAATTTGCAGCATATGCTCTGGTGAGCATTCTTTTCGAGACTGCCATAACAAAATTAAACCCAAGTGTGTTCTTTGCAATGGAAAACACCATGCCGTTTCCCCTATCTGTCCTGAGAGGAAAAAGGTAATCCAGAAAATTCTAGACGCCAAGAAACTGTCCAATTCTTCGAAGACCCCTCCCCAGGCACCTCCAACAATGTCCCAGGCTTCCTTCCCAGCTCTGCCTGGATCTAGTGGGACTCCTCAGGCCTCCTTTACCGGTTCCAATGTTTGGACTTCTGCCCCTCCTACAGTGCCCCACCCTCCCCTTAACCCTCACCTGCAACAAACACAGCCACAAGGTTCTCCCTCACTCCCCATGTCTCAGGGGTCCTC